ATGGAAATAATTCCATTAGAGAGTAGTTGTCTTCCGGTGTTATGTTGACGACGAATGTGTCATGACTTATCGTTATACATATGACTCTGTGTTCTACCTATAGCTGATTGACTATCGCAATGTATGCATATAGTAGGCACAGGTTTTGGCCATATTGAAATATCTTTAAGGAAGTGGCGAAGCCATTCTGCCTCTTCCCCAGCTTTGTCTAAAGCTATGAATTTAGATTCCATAGTAGACCTAGCAATGCAAGTCTGTTTGGAAGATTTCCAAGATACATCCGCCCCACCAAGAGTAAAAACATACCCACTAGTGGACTTTGAGTCTCTTGTATCCGATATCCAATTTGCATCACAGTATCCTTCAAGTACTGCTGGATATCTAGTATAATTAAGCCCAATGTTATGAGTAAATCGGAGATATCTAAGAACCCTTATAATTGCTTTTCAGCGTTCTACTCCTGAATTACTCGTATATCTACTTAATTTACTTACTGCATAAGCTATATTTGGGCGAGTGTAGTTCATCAAGTACATTAAGCTTCCAATAATATGAGCATACTCTAATTGAGAAATGCTATCCTGTACATTCTTAGAAAGATACAAATTAACATTTATAGGTGTTCTAGCAAGATAATCATCATCTTTGCTGAATTTGTCAAGTATTTTCTTAATGTAATGAGATTGTGACAAAGCATAACCTTCTAATGTTTTGGTAATTTTCATACCAAGAATTATATTAGCAATGCCCATGTCCTTCATGTCAAAATGTTTATTCAACATTTTCTTAGTAGTTTTAATCATGTCATTATTACTATCTATGATGAGCATATCATCTACATAAAGACATACAATGACAAAACCTTTGTTAGTGTTTTAAATCCGTTTGACATCATTTATCACACTCATTAATTTTAAATCCATTTGACATCATTGCCTTGTCAAATTTCTCATGCCATGCTTTGGCGCTTGTTTTAAACCATATAATGATTTAACCAATTTACACACTTTCTTTTCTTTTCCTAGAACAGGAAAACCTTCTGGTTGTTCTATGTAAATTTCTTCATTTAACTCACCATTTAAGAAAGCGGTTTTCACATTCATTTGATGAATTTCTAGATTGTATAGAGATGTAATGGCAATTAGCATTCTAATAGATGTTATTCTAGTAGCCGGTGAGTATGTGTCAAAGTAATCAAGACCTTCTTTTTGTCTAAATCCTTTGACCGCAAGTCTTGCTTTGTATTTGTCAATTGATCCATCCGCTTTCAATTTTCTTTTGAAAATCCACTTGTACCCAAGAGGTTTACAACCTGGTGGCAAATCCACCAATTTCCAAGTGTGATTTTGCAAGATGGATTCAACTTCACTATTGACAGCTTCTTTCCATAAAGGAGCTTCAGGACTGGACATAGCCTCTTTAAAAATTAAAGGCTCATTTTCTAACAAAAATGTTAGGAAATTTGGATCAAAAGATTTTGAGATTCTAGCACGTTTACTACGCCTAGGTTCCTCTTCCTCATTTTGATCTAACTCTTGTTCTTGATCATTTTCTTGATCCTGACTAGTAATAGCATCATGAGATCTTTTATTGTTACTAGTTTCCTGTCTAGTCTTATTTGGAAATACATGTTCAAAGAATGATGCATTCCTTGACTCAATAATAGTATTTACAAGCATTTCGGTATGTTCTGATTTGTGAATCAAAAGCCGATATGCACTACTATTCTTAGCATAACCAATGAAAATGCAATCAATGGTCTTAGGACCTATCTTATTCTTTTTAGGACTAGGAATACCACTTTAGCCAAACACCCCCACACTTTTAAGTATTTGTAGGATGGTATTCTTCCATGCCACAATTCATAAGGTGTTTGATTTATTTTCTTTCGGGGTACTTTATTTAAAATATAATTAGCAGAAAGTATTGCTTCCCTCCACAAGTTCTGAGGTAATCCAGAACTGATTAACACGGCATTCATTATTTGTTTTAAAGTCCTATTTTTCCTTTCAGCAATTTCATTTTGCTGAGGTGAGTAAGGAGCAGTGGTTTGATGAATTATTCCATGTTCTTTACAAAATTCACCAAAAGGTAATTCATATTCACCACCTCTATCACTTCTAAGTTTCTTGATTTTCTTACCAAGTTGATTTTCAACTTCATTTTTATGTTGAATGAAAGTTCTCAAAGTTTCATCATTGGTTCGAATTAAATAAACATAACTATATCTAGTATAGTCATCTATAAAAGTGATTACATACTTTTTCCCACCTTTGGTTTGAATTGATTTAAAATTACAAATGTCACTATGAATTAATTCAAGTGGTTCCGTACTTCTTTCAATTGAATGAAAAGGAGTTTTAGATAATTTTGCCTCAACACAAATTTCACATTTATGATTTGAATCAATGTCAAATTTAGGTAAACATTTCATATTAATTGATCTACGCAAATATAACATGTCCTAGTCTACCATGCCATAAATTTGAAGACTCAAGCAAGTAAGAAGAAGATGTAGTATTATTAATAACTGAGGATACAACGGTCATTACATTTAACTTGAAAAGGCCATCAGACATGTAACCTTTTCCTATATACATCCCATTTTTAGTAAGTACAAATTTATCACTCTCAAATACTAGCCTAAACCCATTCTTACTCAACAAAGATCCGGAAACAAGATTCATTGTTGAGAGTGAGTTCCTTTCCTGATGTCATCTTGGGTACAATCTTCCACTGTCCTTCAACTTTGGAAGTTAAGGAGTTGCCCATAAAAAGTTGTTCACCATTGTCCACTGTAGAATAAGATGTGAACATCTTTTTGTCGGCACAAATATGGCGAGTAGCACCAGTGTCTACCCACCATTCTTTAGAATTTCCAACAAGATTTGCCTCGGAAACAACTGCAGAAAGATTGATGTCTTTGACACCATTGGAAATATTGTCCACTTCGGTCATATGGGCTTGAGCAGGCTTCTTGCTTGTTCTTCTTTTGCTTTTGCCTTTGCTACGGCAATCTTTGGCCCGATGTCCCTCTTTCTCACAGATGTAACATTTGCCATTAAACTTGTACTTTTTATTATCCCCCCTTTAGAGTCTTGTGATAAACTTTCTCTAGAAGACTTTCGTTTCTTGGTTTTTGAAGCATGTTCCACCATATTTGCCTTAGACTCCATAGGATGCTTACCAGCTCGCTTTTCAAAATTGTGGTTGTCCTCCTCAATCCTCAAACGCACAATTAATTCGTCCATAGAAATTTCTTTGCGCTTGTGCTTGAGGTAGTTCTTGAATTCTTTCCAGCCTTTTGGTAATTTTTCAATTAAGGCTGCAACTTGGAATGATTCACTGAGTCTGGAAATCCAGTTTTTTTGATGACTTTCCTGGTGACGGAACCGATTTTACTAGTCCAGATTTGTACTAAGCATTTAGTTGTGGGGTGGAGGTTGAATGAGTCTATTGTTAGGTGGATTCCTCCTTATTGAACGGTACTGCTTAGGTCCAAGGACTTATCATGGATTTTGTTTTATGATGTAAAATGTTTATTTTGTTGACACTTTATGTATATTATTGACATAAAAAAATTATGTTGATATAATAATTATTGAGAGGGTAATTTATATATAAATTGGGCCGAGCTGGGTAATGGGCTGTGGGCCACAGTAAGAAGGGCGGAGTAAAAGGGTCTAGGCGTTAGCCCGGTCCAAGAGAGTCTTGGAGTTAGCCCGGTCCTAGAAAGCCTTATTGTTATCCCAGTCCAGGAGAGATTTGCAGATAGCTCGGTCACCACACTCAAAGTTAGCCCGGTCGTGGCATAATGCAATTAGCTCGGTCAATCCTAGCCATTCGTTAGCACGGCCTAAGCACACTATAGATTAGTATGGTTTGTACAAAAGAAACCAAGGTACACACACTGAAAGGAAGAACCGAGCTAGGTGGAGCTCGGTCTTAGCACGGCCATGTTATCCCAGTCGTATTGACATCCGACCTAGGTAAAACCATCTCACTTGGTTTAAGCAGTGAGGGAGTGTTGAAGGATAAATATTATCTTTCAGGAATGTGATTCCTAGGAGGACTCTACATGGAGGAGTAAGAGTTCTACACTACAACAAAATTGAATTTTTATGGCTTGCAATGTATGCCGTAAAAAATCTTTCACGGCATGCACACAAATGCCGTTATATGACATGCCGTGGAAAGTTGAACATCTTTTACGGCATGCAGGTAAAGTTGTAAAAATTAATAAATTAAACATCAATGACATACTTTGTATGTCGTATATAACTTTTTACGACATTTTTGTCATGCCATAAATTATCATACTTTCCATGGCATAATTTTGCATGCCGTAGAAAGTTATTTTAATACATTTATAACATACTTTGTATGTCGTATATAATATTTTACGACATTTTCTTGCATGTCATAAATCATCACACTTTTCACGACATAATTTTGTATGCCATAAAAAGCCATTTTTAATATATTTATGACATACTTTGTATGTCGTATATAATCTTTTACGGCATTTTCTTGCATGTCATAAATCATTATATTTTTCATGACATAATTTTATATGTTGTAGAAGGTTATTTTTAATATATATATATATATATATAGAGAGAGAGAGAGAGAGCAAATTCCTAATTCATATATATGAGTAAACTCAATATATGAACACACGATATCATTAAAATGCCCATTTTAGTACTTGAAAAGCAAATCACAGGATCAAATAGCAAATTATATGTACAAATGAAAGCAAAAAGATTATAAACAATACAAGCAGTCAAGCCTAATTCATTATTAGGAGTATTAGAGAGAGCGATAGAATCAATTAACTTGGCCACTACAAAAAGTCTCTGCCCCAATACCAATGGTAGGGATTCGAAGAGCAGATGTTGCAGCAGCAGTAGCAGCAGCAACAGGTGCAAGCACACAATTCAGAACAACAAAAAAGCACCCAGCTTCTTGCAAAGCCAGGGCAAACCCAACAACTTACAGAAGATTAGTATTATAAATGTCCCCAAATCAAGCAAGAAATCATCTGGTCACAATTAATTTATACATGCTGTTTACAACCTACATAGATATCTCATATCATAGGTATATATATGACATCATAGAATGCTAAGATAACAAGCAACAAGGAAAAAAAAGGAAGAAAAGGAACTTGAAGCAGCATATAACAATTTGCCATGTCCCATATCTTGAATGGCTTTGAAACCAATTTATATCGCATCCCCACTTCCCAAAGCATTATTTCACCAGTAGCAGAACCAATTGTATAAAAGAGAATCTACGTCAAATAAAGGAAAGAAAAGGAAGAATTCGTATATTTATTTAGCAGGAGCTCAACCATTGAAATCATAGGTGGTATGTTCAAATCATTAATCAAAGACCATCATAGCAAGAAGCAATGTGTGATGAGAAAGATGAAAATCCATGCTGGTGACAGCAGATCCTTGATGCATGGTACAAGCTACTGTTCTTGGCAAGTCATCCAAGGACCAAGTGGCATGTTGATGAGATGTCGGATATTTAACCTGGCAAGAGGAGCACCATTAGTAATGAATTCATTAGTAAGAGAAACTTGTTCAAAAGAATAAGTGAATCACTTCAAAAAAATAGTCACTGAGATATGCATAAGCAAAAGGTGATAGCAATGATCAAATATAGAGGATGAAAGGTCATGAAATTTGCCCAATCTGCTTTCTGTCACAGTAGGAAAGCATGAGTATAGAATGAAAAAACCCCATTTTCATTGGTAAATCCTAGTATGAAGTACTATTAGCTGGCACTGGCAGGACCAACACTGGATAATAACCTTCATTCTACTTGAAAGACTGGAGGACTTGTCTTAAAGCATTTCCCATGTCCAGTTTCCAAATAACCAAAGACGTATAAGTCCAAGGATGGTGTCATAATCTAGGAAACTAAACTTCCCCAACCTTTACAGGACAGGCTATGGAGTTACTGAATTGAGTTAACTTCAGAGATGTCTGGCACTGTAAGATTAGAACAGTACAATAGAGAATGCAATGCAGATGGTAAATTAGGGATCTTGTCGCCATTTGGCCACATTGAGTTTCAGTGGATTCTATTTATGGTTTAATATGTAGCATCATGCCTAGAGACAGTGACCTCTTCATATATCCACAAGAGACGAAGGCCACTACTACACGCATAAATTTAGTTGTGTTTGTGATGTTCAATTTCTTCCCGCTTGCAGGCCACCACTTAAGTTTGCAAGCCCATCTAGGTCCCTACTGTCCAACTCCCCAATGGGTTACTATGGTCACTCCTTCCTACCCCCTTGAAGAGCAAAAACAATAAGTATTGCTTATCTTTAAAAACTCCTTATGCCATCTTACAACAAGAAGAGTAAGAAAAATTATACAACTTGATCTGAATAAGAAACCAAATAAAGTAATTCCAATTAATATGAGAAGTCGTACATATGTATGCACTTGTAAAATAGCTATGAAGCAAGGACACCTCTCTAAAGGTCACGTAAGGGTGTTCGACACATATTTGACATGGACACACTAGAGGAAGTGAAACACTGGAAACGTTGGGGACACAAGGTGTCCCATTTTTATTTTTATTTTATCACTAGTGTAACATACCCAATGTGGATGAATTTGATGAAAACCAAAACTGAAATCATGACCAAAGGTAGGATGAAGCAATTGTCAATCACCATAACAGCGATAACAGAATCATAATATAATCATTTTGCATGTTCTACACAGTAACCTCTACTGCAGTTATCACATCCAGACAAATACATGCTGCAACAGGACTGCCTTGGCTAAAACCAACCTCCTTCATAATACAATTGATAAGAGCATCGACATTCTCCTGCAGCAAGTTTAAATCCCAAAGATGTTAAAATTAATCAACAAAGGATCTACATGAAGAAAAAAAAATTTAAATGAAAGATGCAGTAAGTATCAATCTATCTGGGCAAATACATGTTGACGTTCAATCAGAGATCTTCTAAACTTGCTATCAGATTCTGTCCCAAACTTCTTAGTAGGTGTGACAGTTTGCAGTTCCTGCACAAATGAATCTTTTCCATGACACCAAAGCAAAAAAGTACCGCAATAGTGGGAACTACTCACTAAAAAATAAAAATAAGATAATGTGAACCTAAAAAATAATATAGGTAAATGATTGGAAAGAGTAATATATATTTGACTTATTCTCTTCATTCACATGGTTACCATTCTCCAAGTTCTGCATAATGTAAACAAAAAAACATTTAGTGTAACAGAGTGGGAAGCGATGCCACCAAGGGGCGACCTCAATAATTTCTGCAAATATACTTACCTTAGTTACTGAAGTTGATGGATGTTCCGACACAAATTTAACAGGAGCATTAAATAAGGATTGCTGTCGAAGAATTTGGTTCTCAGATTCCATGTCAGAAATTTTTTCTTCAAGCCTGTGAATGTATGGAACAATTATTATAATGCAGTATATTACTGAAGGTGAGAATAAGAAAACCATTCACTAATTGACCAACAAGGTTACATGGACTCAGGGGCTGTTGGGTCTAACTGTGTGTCTATCAGATTCTTCAAATCCCTTGTGCCCAAGGACACCAATATACAACTAGATATTCATATATCATTGTATTCTACTTTTATTTTCTTGGTTAAACTGTGTTTACAACGTAACATAGAGCATTTTATGCATAACTTGGGGGGTTTATGAACTATTATAGAGTAAACTCAATTACTAGATTGCTTACTAGGTGCTTGATCAACAGGACATCAAACACATATCTCATACCCTGACTCAAAGGTCACATGTTTGACAAGGGTAATACATAAATTTGGAAGAGTTCATATAACAAAGTTAACCAATAACCAGCAAGCAAGCAAAACAATCATATGTCATCATCAGCTTAAATAAGTATTCTTAACCACACTAGTATCTTCGTACAACCTTTGCATAGAAGTCTTCAGCTGAATTATCTTTGATTTTGCCTCCAAAGCCTGCTTCAACCTCTCATCACTAACTTTGTTTGTCTCTTCAAATTTTTTCTCTGTTCCATCAATTTTCTTTTCTAAAGAACTAACCAAGGCCTACAAGTAATTATGAAAAAGCAATGCATTGGCAAATAGAATTGAAGTGCCTCAAATCAATACACAAAAACACATCTAAAAGCAAAATTTATGCTTAAAATCTCAGCCTCTTTACCTTGAGTTTCTCATTTTCAGCAGCAAGTTTATCCACCACTGTGCACAAGACTCATGGGAAAGGTTCGAGAGAGTGATTCTCATGATCCAAACCTGCACCACTAGGTTGGAAGCGGATAGCACTTGCCGTCATGACCTCTAGTAAAGGTTGTCAAAATCAAAACCATATTGAAAACTTGGTAATCTTTTTATATCAAAATTTTACATGCAAATAAAACAGGGAAAACAATGGTTCATAAAGAACTTGACAGGGAGCAGAATTAAATTATAATGAACAGTAATTTACTGACCCTCATGCGCTTCTCCAACTGTAATCGCCATGTTAGTTCTTCAACTTGCTTCTCCAGTTTATTTTTGGCAGCTTGAAGAGCGCCAGTTTCCCTTGCAGCCTGTATTTAAAGACAATAAATGAAATAGATATCTAATTATGAGGTAAAAAAAAGCAAGAAACAAAGGATCATTAATTACAAGATAAAAATCCGATAATTTAGCAAAAAATACGATGAAGAAAATATGGAATTGATACAACCACGTAACAAGTCAAGTTGTCAATCAATTTCTTGTCCTTTTTTGTATATGTGAAGCGTAAACTAAAGATTTTTATAAGATGCATGGAAACAAGTGTTTAGTTTATATTCTAACTTGAAATCGCATGAATTATAATAACAATTTTCCCCCCTAATCATGAAATATTGAAAAGTAAAGATTCTTCCAAACGCGGAAAATTTAAGCAGCAGAGACACAATACTCTATATTTCTTCACTAAACAGAGTCAAAAAAAAAGAAAAAAGAAAGTAAAAAAAGACAATAATAATTGACAAAAACCAAATTCAAGAAAGGTGGGAGAAGGGAACAAAAAAGTCACCATCTTAAGCTTCTTCAATTCTCTACGAGCAACTTTTCCCCTCCATGCACATTGTGTGGTGATTGTAGCTTTCTTTAACTTCGTATAGTGCAAGCATGCTAAGTATTTGCGACAATGGCTCTGCAGTAAAAATAATGTCATTCCAAATACAAAATCCACCAAGAAGTTTAACATAAATAGCCAAAATGAAAAAGGCATGCCAGGCCAACAACCAACTTGTGATAAATTGGAAAAGTACAGATACCATAATAACATTATAGGAAATTGATTCCACATTATCGTGAAAAATGACAACATAACCTTCTTCAGAAGTTTCCAAATAATTGTGCTATGTCTGAATTTAATTTTACCTGAACAATAATTACTGCTTTTGTCTGCCTTCTGAAGCGAAGCTCATCACGTGCAACCATTCCACGCATGCCAGCCTGAATAGAAACAGCAAAGGAGCACAATTCTTTATAAGCTTTCCTAGCAAGATGCATACGAAAATCTCTCTGAATTCTCAAGACAAGAAGCTTCTCTTCTAATGTTCTCGTAAACTTCCCGAGCAAGTTCTCCCGTAATCAGCATAAGGAAAAAATCAACGAGTTATATACTTTCAAGACCTCAGCAGATAGGATTAATGAGCTAATTAAAAAAGTTCAGCTGAAAAGACATATCTAACACAATTAACTACCTCTATACACAGATTGAATCTATATTGCAGAACGACGAACTAAGACAAAAGTTTTGCGAGCCATGTAAGAATGGATTTTCCTCTGAATAATGCGTGCTGATCTTCCTAAGACCTCAATTCTGCGGGCATCCAGTTCTGCCATTTGACCAGCCCTTAGAAACGCCTTTGTCTTACCAATCTGCAAAAATAAGCGTAATAAGTATGATTTATTTAGCAAAAGTCATCGAGGAAGTAAAAACAGGCCACATGCAAGGATTTAATAGTTTACGCCAGCAAAAGTAAGAATTAATGTAAGCAATTACATATATCTGTGATTACCACTCAAGGTCATGTAAGCAAACACAATAAAGTTCATCGGAAACTAACAATAATCTGTATTTCTATCCCTTTACACCTCTATGAGTACCAGAAAAAAATAAAAATAAAAACAAAATGAGTAATTATAATCCAATATCTAGATTTATATTAATTGGAAGATGTCAAAAGGAAACATAAGAATCCAAAAACGGATGCTCTACTTTTTCCCAAACAGACCAAAAACCGTCTAGTATGGATGAACAAATATATCCTAATGTTTTAAGCCTCATATCTTTAGTTATCATGCAAATGAGAATTATAGTGCCTAATTACTTCTTGTTTTTATCGGCACCTAAAAACAAGAACATCACAAATATATCAAAGATATGTTTCAAACATATCAATGATATCAGGGGAATCAGTAATCATCAATCTAGCTAGTATTCCTTTTTATACTAAAGCATTGGCATCATAAGCATCCATCACAGTTTGAGGCAGATTTAAAGGTATGATGAACAACCAAACATGAAAAAGACGTATTGACGAGGAAGGAACTAGAAATGATGCCACTATACACAGTACAAATGCCAAAATATATTGATGCACTCTAAGTTGACAACATAATGACCATAAAAATAAAAATAAAAAGTTTATTATGGCCATAATGACTTGAATTGGAATTTGGATCCAAAATGAATTGGAATTTGGATCCAGAATGAATAAAGAAAGAAAGAAAGAAAGATAAATGTGAGATAAGAATATTGATTGCTTGAGAGAGAGGCTAAAGAGGGATTAAAGAACTGACATTGATTGCTTTTTGAATGCAATCTCTCCTTCAAGCTGATGATGATCACACAAACCACCAAGCAAGCAACCCACCCACTCAAACGCCTCTCTCTCTCTCTCTAAAACTGTCACATTCTCTCTCTTGTGTAGATCATAGCATCACAGATTGAATTTCACGATTTGACAACTATAAATTCATATTCATATTCAAACTCAAATCAAATTAACACATGGATTCAAATTCAAATCTCTCACAACAAATTTATAATTAAATATGAACTTCTAGATCAGAGAGAGAATTTACCGCTTGAAATAGCAAAGGGCAAACCCTAGTAGGAGATTCAAGATTGTAAACCCTAGGAGGAGAAGAACCGACGGAATGAAGAGCTTGAGAGAGAGAGAGAGAGAGAGAGAGAATACGAAATTGAGATTGAATCAAAATCGATGACGATGGCTCACCTTAGTAGACGATGCAAATAGCGGTGACGGTGGAGCTTCGAAATTGAGAGAGAGAACTTCGAAATTGAAATCACCGAGCTACGTATTGATTTATGAGAAGGGGACAAGGTATTGATTTATGAAAAGGAAGTTGCTCTACGAAATCAAAATCACCGAGCTGAAGTGAAGAGAGTGAGCGAGAGATTTGAGGGAGCCCAGCAGAGATTGTAACACATTTGGAGGCGTTTATATTAGCTAAATGGTACCGTTTTAATTAATACAAAATGCGACATTTATAAAACGTCGTTAAATATTATAAAAAGTTTAAAAAATGCTGCAGTGATATGCAATTTTTTTCAAAATCCCACTGGGTGCAATTATCCCTTAAAAGAAGACACTAAATTATAAAATAATGTATAAATTATTTTTTACATTGCCCTCAATTAGGAAAATTTAAAGTGAGAAGCTTGGTTGAAAATTATTAGTTTTTTTAAATCATCAACAAAAAAAAAAAAATCAGATTGAAATTTTTTTTAATAAAAGTTTTCACAGCATGCTAATGTATGCCGTGTAAAGTCATAATATTTTTACGACATGAACTGTATGTTGTCTTAAGTTTAAATATTTTATGACATATTTTTGTATGCCGTGAAAATAGACATTTTTTACGACTTGCTTTTGCATGCCATAAAAAAATTTCGGATTGAATTTTTTTTTTTTTTGCAGAAGTTTTCACGACATGTTAATGCATGCCGTGTAAAGTTATAATATTTTATAACATGAAATATATGTCGTCTTATGTGAAAATATTTTACGACATATTTTTGTAAGTCGTAAAAACACACGTTTTTTACGGCATACTTTTGCATGCTATAAATATATGAATCAACGACTTACATAGTATGTATGCAAAATTTCAAAAAAAAAAAAAAGAAAAAGAAAAAGGTCACAACATCACAAAAGAATTGAATCAATGAGAAGGAAAAAAAATTGTGAATAAATTAAAATTATTTAATTGTGAGTAATACGAGAGGGACAAACTTTTTTTTTTTTACGACAGAAAATCCCAAGTTCCTGCATCATATGTATAGGTAAGATGAGGGCCAACCATATCCGATTCACAACACCAAGGATCCTCTAGAGTGAAATTTTCTTAAAATTTTTTAGAGTGTTACATTGTGTGGTTGAGATTTATTGGCAAGTCACATCAGAAAAATTGATGTGACTTGCCAGTAAATCTCAACCACACAATGTAGCACTCTAGGAAACTTTAGGAAAAGATCACTCTAGATGATCCTTGCTCGATTCACAAAGCCTATTGGCCTAGTGTTGCAGACAAAGTTGTCCAAAATTCCAAATGTAAGATGTCAATTTAATCTCGTTCAAAAAAGGTGGCAATTTAATCTTCTTATTGTCGACTCAATTATTTTTAACCTTAGATTTTAAATCCTAGTTAAAATTTCTGATTTTTTTTTCCTAAAGAAAAAAGAAAAAGAAGAAAGGAATAAAATAGAAAATCACGTGTTTCATGCAAAATAAATAAATAAATAAATAATAAAATTTAAAAACATGCATGGGGCTAGCCCCTAGGGCCTAGCCTGAGGAAGTTTCCATTACGCAGGAGGAGGATTCATTGGATTAGGAAGTTTCCCCCTTTTTTTTTTCTTTTTTTTTTTTTTTTTTTTACGTTATTATGAGACATGCACAAACAAATCTTAGGTTTCTTCGGCGAAGTTGTTAAAAAGTTCTCTAAAACCTGACTTCTACTTTTGTTTTGTTTAACGTAAAGACACTATTGAGAACGACTACCACACACACTTCAAACTTGTTCACACCACAGCTGCTAAGAAGACCCACTAAATTTAAAGCTTTTTTGTTTCACATGTGGCTCAAGTGTTGCATGCGTGTATAGAAATTGTAAGGGAACAATTAATAATTAGTCTTTAATTTATAAAAAAAATTCCGTACTTACTAATTTTTTTATCTTTTGGTGACACACTAAAGTCTCTTTAGGTGAAATTATAGGGCAAAATTGTTGCTATCCAAACTAAACCATAAATAATTGGCCACTGATTTCATTGGGCATATAGAGCCAAGTTACCTAAAGAAACATTATTTACTAGTTAAAATGCAAAGGTTGAAAACAGTATACTAAGTCAATGGCGTTTAGGATCAGGTAGACTTTAAAAGAATAGTCATAATTAATTATGAAAATAACGGCATAAAATTTTGACCCAATAAATAAATAAAGTTTGGATTTGCCAAGACTTCATGACTCGCATAAATAATATTACATCTAGTCATAAAAACATGGTTTGAACAAGCCAATCAAAGCGTGGACTTTGTTACTTCATCAGAACTACTAGTCTATTAAATTATGCTTCAACAACTCAACAGATCTTTCTTTTGTTCCGCATTATGCACATTTTTAATGTGAAACCAAATGAGGTTGGTTTTGTGGTTAAGGTGCTCCGATTACTAATGTTCAAGTATCAACAGCTACAAAAGTCTAACTGGCTATACATCTTAATAAATTACTTGGCCATACATTTTAAAATGTTCAAGTTGGTGTTGGATGTTAGGCTGTATATGGACCTCTTCCTAGGTTATTTCGTTGTTAGCCTGATTGATAGGCTTTTTATAATTATTAGGCTATGATTGATGGATGTTTTCTTAAGTTTGTTGGTTGTTAGGATTTCTATAATTATTGTATTACGATTGTTCGTAACTTTTGAGGTAAGTTAAAGTGGTAAATGCGATCATTGAAAGAAGACGTTCAGGACCGGTCTTGAGGTGAGGCGACTAAGGCGACAGCCTCAGACCCTCAATTTTGAACAAAATTTAGGACTCATAACTAGGGAAGTGAATCATGTCGTGTTATTTCATAATTACTTTAATATTAGCTCAATTTATTTATTTTCATGTTGTCATATGATGTTATTTTGATTCATATCCAATTGATATTTAATGTGAAAACTCTCACTTTTAATTAAAAATAACTTAGCATGTATATGTAGAGATTAATTTTTTTTTTTTCCATAAGTTGAATTTTATTATTTCTACTAAATGAAATTATTCATAGAATGTTTGATTTTAGTTCAATTGCATTTTCTAATTAAAAAAATTGTACATTATTACTATATATTTTTTACTAGATTGACTCTAAAATAGGTAACAAAAAAATACATATCTTAAATGAAAAAAATATATTAGCTTTAATTATTATTTTACATACTTTTTTATTTAGTTAGATGGAGTTAAAAAAAAGATTATAAAAATGTCATGGCATTTCTTAGTGAACATTAAAATATATATAACTAATAATTCATGTTATTGAGTTGTGCCATACTTGGATTCATGTTGAAAAATAGCCAACCCTAACTTGCTAAATTTATATATTGCTTGAGTTGTGTCGAAAATTCTCATCCTTACTCCCAATTAATTTTAGTTATTATAACATTGGTAAGCTAAAAAATAAAAATTCGATTCAACTAATTGAAGTTCAACTATTTTATATATATATATATATATTTGTTATCTAAATTTTGTTAAATTGTAATGCAATAGAAATAAATTTTTATCCATTTTGTTTTATCCAAACAACTTTTTTTTTTTTTGGTAATGATATATGAAGGATCTAATTTAAAAAATTCGCCTTAGGTCCCTAATAACTCAGGGCCGGCCCTGAGAGGTTCATATAAAAACAATTATTTTATAATTAAATTGGGTCGAGCTGAGTAATGGGCCGTTCGATGGGCCACGGTAGAAAAGGGCTTGGCAAGTGGACTGCAGTAGTAGCGCGGTCAACGTGGAATAACAGTTACAACGGTCGGAGTGGAGTTAGTTCAGTCATAGTGTTTGAAGCCAAGGTATGATGGCTTCACACGGTGGACCTCGCTGTGGTTAGCACGGTCGTAACAAGCGGTAGATTAGCCCAGTTTCGACAGGCTACCGAAGTACAACTAAACGAGAGCCAAGCTAGCTTGGCGTTTTGCATTGGAGCACCAAGCTTGGTTACCTCGGTCTTAAGTTAACAGCCGGTTGGAGTATGCACAACCAGGGTACAGACACTGAAGGGAAGATCTGGGTTAGCTCGGTCGTAGTGCCGTCCAACCGGGGTAAAACCATCTCACTTGGTTTAAGCAGTGAGGGGGGTGTTGAAAGATAAGCATTATCTTTCAGGAGTGTGATTCCTAAGAGGACTCTGCATGGAGGAATAAGAGTCCTACTAGGATTATGCCACACGGAACCTATAAAAGCTCATAACATCACCTATAGAGAGGTAACACAACTTTGATTCTCGAATACATAGAGCTTTTGTCTATTTGTCTATTTTGCTGACTTAGGCATTAGAGAGGTATCCAACACACACCCGCCAGCTAGCTCATGTTTGTGTTTTCAGGAAGTAAAGCGACGACGTTTGGAGGAGCGCAGACTTGATCAATAGGATTATACGAAAAGATTATTTCGTGCTCGTACAATTGGCGCCGTTTGTGGGAATCACAAAAAGAACAAAATCTCTTGATCAAAGTTTTCCTCGCTAGAATAGACGTAATGGTGCACAATTAAGATTTGCCGTAGTCCGCCATTGATAGACAAACCCCAAAGGGAGGTGAAAGGTGCGAAGGTTTTCCTTTCATCCCTCCCATGGCAGATTTAGAGCCCCAGCGACAGAACCCCCAGAGGGATGCAAGAGGAAGGCGGGGTAATAGCCCCCGTCACTTTTAAAGCCCTGAAAGGCAGAGGCGGAGGATTGACCCTCAGGTTCTGGAGGATCGCGTAAAGGAATAGGATGAGTTGATACGAAGGATGGCGGCAGACATGGAGTTGATGAAGCGCCAGATAACAGGAAAATGGGTAGTGACAAGAAAGGGGCGCAAAGACAGTATGCCCCCTTGCCACTCGAAAGTCGTGGTCGATACACCGCGCTATCACAAGCAGAGAGTAGGAGCCTTAGAAAAGGTGACACTCAAACAAGGACATCCAGAACTCGTTGCTCTAAGTCTGAATAACAAGAACTGAGAGGTCATATACTGAAGGAAGCACCTATCGGCCCTCGCGCACGCTCCAAACGTTATCCAGGCATACGGAGTTGCCTAGATCGTCTGATTTGCGAACTGTGCTTGACGAAAGGGCACGGTGGAAAGAGGATGCCAGGGCACGCGACCCGCGCAAAGTTTCAGCCATTCAGCGGTTGGCTCCTCGGATGCATGGAAGCGTCGAGGTAGGAA